CCAAGGTTCTGTAGTGTCCAATGCAGATTGGACTCTCTCTCTCTCTCGCTCGCTCTCCCTCATGTGCCTCATGCACCTCAGCTCCATAAGCCACAAGCATTTCCTTTTCAAGCTGGGTTCCTGCCCCCAACCCCAGTGAGTCGTGCCTCTTCAGGGGTCTTGCCCGAAGGAATCCTCCAAGGTTCCAACTTTGTCTGTATCTTCCTGGGTGCAGTTGGTCGATCAGTACAACATATGCAACGCTGCCTTCTGAGGGCTCTCCACGCCTCAACTGTTTGCATCCAAAGGACCTTTCTCTGAAAAAATCCTCCGTGGTGGAAAAGCACCTGGGTATGACCTTCCAAGAAATCCCGATGGTATTCACTTGCAAAAAACTGTCGCCAAGTAGGATCCAAGAGATCAAGTTTAACATGCGCCGCGAACTCCAACCTACTAGCGGCCTCCAACCTACTAGCGAATGAGTCAACCGAGTCTTATGAACTTGAACCATGACCCTTTCAATGCCTGCTCCTGACAAGCACGAAGGACAGGGCCGTCGGACATGCGGCCTTTCCGGTCTAACTTCCTGACGCGAAAGACCCGTGACACGACATGCGCAGTCTCACGCCCTTCTTCAAGCTATGACCTAGGAATACCTAGGATATTTTAGACCAGGCGCGTGTTTGTCATGGCTCTCACGTGCGTTTTGCCTGGCTTTTATTGTTTATCTTTTTGGGTGGAAAGCTTGGAGTCGAAAATCGAGTGATTAACATGTAGTGGCAAAAATGATGGGCATCCCAAAAATGCAACCCTTGCGCGAACAATGTCTTCTTTACAGCTTAGAGGGCAATCGTGGCTCAGTTCAAACTTCGCATCGAGGCAGCCGCAGGTTTCAGGGCACAAAGGCCGTAAGGATGCAAAGAGGCCCTCAAAGCCTTCACAGAAAGTGGCATTCACATATGGATCCTTACTGCTCAAACTGGTGCAGCATCTGGGCAAAGTCATAAGAAACATATTTGTGCCAGCTACGATCCTTCAATCAAATGTGCAGAAGTGAGCGATTTGGTTCACAATCTCTGCGCAGCATGCAACTTGTAGGACATAACACATAGGGGCCACTGGGGACCTGTTTGTGAACCAAATCTGCCATGAAAACCTTCTGAAACAGGCAAGGTTTCTGCTTTCTCATGTCGTAACGCGCTGCATCCCCCAGTCAACATCTTGCGCGCTTGAGCTTGCACTTGAGCCAGGCGGACTCCACCCTCCTTTGAGGAAGGGTCCATCCCTTGGATTGAGATGCCGTTTTGCAGCAGCTGCGCAAAATACATCCAACTGTTCAACCCGTAGCATGATCATGCAGGATTCGATGCTGAACATTTCCGCTTCTTTAAGTGACGTGATGCCACCAAACTGTTTCGAATTGAGATTTAGCACATGAAGGCACCGCAGCAAGGCCGGACGCATCGTTAGATGTCATGTTCCAATAGCGATGCCTCTGCTCCTAGTGGTAGTCGGGCCAGGAGCCCCTAGTAGCTTCTTGTTACTAGTAGTGAGGCCAGGAGCTACTAGTTTCGTCCTTGCTCCTAGTAGCGATGCCCTTTGTTCCTAGTAGCTTCTTGTTACTAGTAGTAAGAATACTCCTAGTAGCGATCTTGCTCCTAGCAGTGGGGCCCGGAGCCCCTAGGATAATGGCCCACTACCACATGTCGTGGCCCTGCCAGCATTTTCGCGGTGTTGACTGTAGTGTTGACTGAGTGTTGACTGTAGCGTTGACTGTCGCGTTGACTGGCTGTTGACTGTCAAGTGTGGGGTGCCTGTTGTTGGTGAACGACATGCAAGGAGGAGTGGCTGGCCATTTAGCGTTGAACGAGTGCGCAGATGAGACTTACAGGACGCTTTAAACGAATGTGGTAAGTAGTACAAACTGCTGAGTTTTCTTCGGTGGGCGGAAGAAATCCTGCGCCACTTTGATACAGCCCTCATTCAAAGCTGACAGACCAGCAGCCCCGCACCCCTATTCAATGCTGTCATGCCATGCAGGATGGTGATGCAGGATTTCCGTCAATGGCACCTTTGCAGCTTGTGATACCAAAAGGAACAATGTTAAAAAGGTAGCGCGAGGGTATAGAGAAACATCTGTATGAAAGTGGTACAGGATTTCTTCCGTCAACAGTAGTAGTGAGGCCAGGAGCTACTAGTAGCGTCCTTGCTCCTAGTAGCGATGCCCTTTGTTCCTAGTAGCTTCTTGTTACTAGTAGCGATGGCCTCCACCTAATAATTGGCGTCCTTGCCATAGTAGTAATGGCCTCCAACCTACTCGATGGCCTCCACCCAAACATTGCGCGCCAAAGAACCAAATGCATAGAGCCCAACTGAAGGCCAAGTCCGCCAAGTGTCAATCCACTCCTGTCCTAAGTTTCACACGAACTCAAGATGTTATGGTGCTCTCTGTGCAGGATTTGTGTTGGCTGAATCTGGGCAGCAAGTATCTTGTCTGATCTTCTTAGGGGCACGGTGAATCTATTTGGCGAGGGGTTAGCACATGATCATCCTTCCGTATTCGGGTTCCAATCAGGTTTCTATTGCTATACACCATCACGGCAGCATGACCAGCCGTAGCAAGTTGCAAAAACACGTAAAACATTGAACGTGATAAACCCAGCTTTGCAACCCAACAATGAGCACAACTCAACTGACCGGGGCTTTGCAAACGCTCGACCTTATGCGTTGCCAAAGCTCCCAAGCCGACCCGAAATCCATTTGTCAAATGCAAAGGGAGCCGGGGAGCAAGAGCCGGAGCCGGAGGAACAGCAAACAAGTTGTTCCCACGCAAACGCGCAAAAGCGTGTCACTAGATACGCGCAAACACCTGCCGCGTGGTTGATCCTAAGTGGCAAAGGAATCTGCCTTGTCAGCAAATTGTCAGTATCTTCTTTGTAACCCACACTTTCCAGCCTTGATACTCCTTTGGCCTATTCATTCTCTCAAGCAAAGGTCGAGGATCCGCCACGAATGGCGATAAATTAAACAAAGGCAGCTGGAATCCTACCCAGAGTGCACAGGCACATATCTCCTCAAACCAATAGCCCCCGATGGAAGCGAGTCTGAGCTCACAGCACATATATGTGTGTATATTACTACTTACATATACAGTATAATATACATGTTCAGTGCAAACCTAGAAATCTCTACTTGGCTTTCCTTTAGCGAATAGGAAAGGGGAACCTTGTGAAACTGCCCAACCTAGTTACCTAGTTCAACCGAGTTGTAAAGAGCAGCAAAAACAACGACAAGAACACCATCAACAATAAGAGCAAGAACCAAACGCAAGAATTGAATCCGCCGGCCTGCCGGCGTGTTTTGTGGATTGTTTTGGTTAATATTGCTTGTATTGGTTAGTATTGCTTGAGTATTGTCTATCCGCGCGAGATTTTCGACAGCCTGACGCCCCCCCCCCCCCCCCCCATGGCCGCCACCTAATAATTAGCGTCCTTGCCATAGTAGTAATGGCCTCCAACCTACTCGATGGCCTCCACCCAAACATTGCGCGCCAAAGAGCAAAATGCATAGAGCCCAACTGAAGGCCAAGTCCGCCAAGTGTCAATAGTAGGTAGGTAGGTAAAGACAAGGATGAGGAGAGGGGAGGTGGGGAGAGGGGAGGAGGGGGGGGGGCTTCGACCTGAAAAATCAGGGGTTAGGATTTGCACCCGGTCGAAAGAAACCTTGCTATCGCAAGAGTAACTCCAGCTAGCTTCGCTAGCTTTCGTGAAAAACGACAAATCATGCCAGATCTAGAAATTCTTCGGTCGCTTTGAAGCCTTCTGCGTGTGAAAAAGAATATCTGGTGCGTGTCGCAGTCCCTCGAGATGGTCGAAAAAAAGATCTGAAAAGGAAAACATGCACACGGCCAAGTAGTTTGGAAGAAGAATCGTTTTCAAGGTCATGTTTTGTGGATAGTCTT